TCATATCATATTGTTACTATCAAAACTACATTTTGTATGCTCCACTTTCGCATTGCGATAAGAACGATTGGGCATGGGTACTGGCTATACGATTTGTTTTATAGTTTGATAATACTGTATATAACTGGACAACTGTAAAACTAGGAACTAGAATTTTTGTTTGTTTTGGGTGAATAAGTTATCTTTCTAGTTTTAAATAACTTATAAAGCTATAGCTTTTATTTAATATCTATTAAATAATATTTGCCATTTATGTTTTATCTCATGATAATTCTTAATAGTCTTTAATAACTTTCTAAGAGCTAATCTCTGCATATATTTTTTAATTAAATCAGAAATGTGGCTCGACACCTAAGACAACTAATGCTTTCACAAAGAAAAAACAAAACTTCTCATAATTAAGTAATATATAAATATGTCTATTATATATCTAGACATATACATATATTATTATTATATATTATATATTTATTTGCATTTTTCAACACTGGGTCAGCCTCACCATTAAAGACCAAATGATGTTATGCAGTCTCGGCCGTATAATTATGATGTTCCGATGCCAAATGCCTCGGTGAACTCGAAGACACATTTAATGGCCCGAAGTCATTAAATTTGGTATGCAACACTCTGGCCAGCGAGCTGTTATATATTTATGGTATGGCATGGTCTCTGGCATGGCATAGTAATATAGACATGTGAATATTCGTTTGCCTCCCCATTTACTCATTTCCTTTTTACACATTTGCATAATTTTGGCGGGCATAAAAATTTGCTCATATGCCAAATGTGCATTATGATTCAAAATAGTTTCCGAATTGATTTCGCGCTTTTAAGTCGAATATTTGTTGAGAACATAAATTTTAACGACTTTCACAAAACGCGTTTGCGTCAACTCAACGGCATTTCTTTTCAGTTTCTTATCAACGACTATTAATCTAGTTCTGGTTCTGGCTAAAAACCAAAGTTTTTCTTTTCTACTGGTTTTTTATTTTTTATATCTTTGGCTTGTTTTTTTGCTGCTCCAGAAATGTGCGCCCAAATGTGGGTTATTATGGTGAAGGGGCGAACAAAGCGCTGCAAAGAATTTCAGAATTGACTCGTCTGTGTCTGGGTTGGCTTTGCCTTTGGCTTAAAGCGGTTGTTCTTGTTGTTGTTGTTATTGCTGCCGCTGGTGCTTTTTTGTAACAGATAGGCAGTTTTCTGCTGCTTCTTCTGCTTGTCGTTTTTTTTTTTTCTTTCTTTAGTGTAACAACAAATTGACAATGACATGAATGTAAAGAAATATTTAACCTTAATAAACGAACGCGACTCGAGAAGACATCGACCGCTCTTTTGTTGTGACTGGCTCATATATCTTTCTCGTTGTTGTTGTTGCTGCTGCTGCTGTTGGGCATTGTTTGATTTATGGAACGAAGGCCAAGTGCCAATTAAACTCAGCAAACTGACAACGATTCTGATGCCACTTTTATTTAATGCCCATAGAAAGTTTAAGACGACAATCTGATTCGTTCGTAATATTGATCGGCATTCTCTTTATCTTTATGCAGATACAGCGACGCGTAGGCATAGTTTGGCCGAGCACTCGATAGACACAATGATGTCCATGTCCACCTCGCCGCCAGCGACGCCAACGGGCGTCCAAACGGATGCTGAGGGCCTCATATTGCCAAAGAAGCTGATCAATCCCTGCATGGAGAACACCGATCGCAAGGAGCTGCATCGCGAGCTCAAGTTCAATGCACGCATGTGAGTAGCAAATGAAAATTAATAGAATTGATTGACTGATCTCTGTCTCTCCCTCTCTCTCTCTCTCTCTCTCTCTGGCAGTGGTAAGAGTGTGCTCAATCAGAAGAGTGAACTTCAACGTGCCTACGAGAAGCAAAAGGAACGGCATGCAGCGGCCATCGAGCAGCATTCACCCGAAACGGAGCTGGCTGGACTGAAGGGGGAGCTGGGGCGTGTGATCATGGAGCGGGCCCAGAAGCATGGGGCAGCGGCACAGAAACAGGATGCCGAGGACGCTGAGGAGCGTCAATATGTCAATCCCGAGTATTTAAATGTGCGCGCCAAGCTGCGTACGGCGCATGCGCCCAATTAAAAAAATAAAAAAAATGCAAAAAAAAAAACAAAAAAAAAATTAAAGCAAATGAGAAAATTCTGTAATCTTTTGAAGAGCTAATCTTAGTTGTGAGCCAACCAAATTTCTGTTTAATTAACTCAACGTTTTATGTGTGTGTTAACCAATCTAATTAGTATTAGTCTTTATACTTTGTTTATATCTCGAAGAACGTAAATTTAGTTTTTTTTCATCGATATTGATATTATTAATTGATAGTTTATAAGCCGTAAGATTATGATGTCTAGAGCTTCTTTTGTTCTATGTTGAATGACGATAGTTTATTATGATTACGATTACGCTTAAGTTAAGATTATGATTTCTGCTTTGTGTATAAGAAAACGAAACAAAACAGTGTATAAAGTTTTAGTTGATTAACAAAGTTTCTTCTTCCAAAATAACAAACCCCAACAAATTGGCTGAATGAATGTACGTTTAGATATAGTCATAGGTTTGCGATATATGATAAAACAGGGGCAGTCGAAGATAGTCTAGCATCTAAGCCTACCGAATGTTTCGAGAGTTAAAACAAAAGTGAAACAAACTTAGGCAGTGTGTATATGTATATGAACTATTTTATGTCGAGCGACTACTTGTTGCAGTTGCAGGAAAAATCTAAAAACCATATAAATAAATAAATGCTATGTATACAACATATAAATATATATATATATATATACATATATATATATACAAATAATATATCTATATACACAAATTTAGTTTTCTGGTATTAATAAATTTTATTGTAGCTAAACGTTAAGAAAAATCTTCTTTATTGTTTTGTTCTCTCTATTTCTTTCCCTTCTTGCCTCCCTTACCTTTCGGCGGTGGAGCGACGGGCGCCTCTACCACCTAAAAAAAATAATATATATAGAAGATTAGCATATGTTTAGCTATATATTATATTATAGCGCTTACCGGTGGCTTGTTTGCCGCCTCCCGTTGGGCAAATATCTCGTGAACCTCAGCAATTTTCTGATGAAACATTGGTATCTGCTCTCGGTAGAATTTTAAATCGTCTACGGCCTTTGATAGCTTGTTGCGTGTTACTTTGATCTCGTTGTCGACTAGCTCCATACTTTTCTCATATGCCGATTCCGTTTCGCTAATACGCCGCTTATAATCCGATAGCTCCAAGTCGTAGGCCAGATAACAGAGATCCGTAAAGTATGTAAACTCTTTGGCACGATCCTTGTAAAAGTTAACCTCGTCCTCTATGGCCTGCAATGGAAGTTACTTATCAGACATTCGAAAGTAATACTAATAATAATAATAGCTCCACCTTAATCTCAAGCTCGTCGCTCATGAGAGACTGCTCCATTGTCGTTTGGGCCCAATTGATGCGATATCGCGCCTCAATAGGCACCCCAACTGAAATAATATTGAAAATTGATTGCGTATATAGAATAGTAATCGGCTCATTCTGGAGTGCCGGTGCTTACAATCCATGTGATTGATTCTTTTATTCAGTTCCTTGTGCCTGTAGCCGCCTGGATCAGCTGTGCGCGGTGTTTTCTGCATTGCCTGCGCTAACTGTGCTTGCTGATCCTCCTCCTCCTTCCGAGTGTTTGTTACCAGCTCCATAATATCCACCTGGGCATCTCTGTAGTACTCAGCTCATTAAGTTCTCTATTATTGAACTAACTATTTAGAGTGCGAGTTTACCTTATGAGATATAGCGAGTTACTGCAGATGTCACCCTTGACCCTGAAATCATCGTAGAGTGCATCGACAAGTCGTATGATTTCCTTCAGGTCCACACGAAACTTGAAGCAGTCCATTTGACCCTTTAACTCCAGCTCAACGTTATCCAAGTAGTTCTCGTTGCGTCGTTTGAAGCGCCTGAGGTAGTCCTCAATCGACCAGCTGAACATCCGAAGATTCCGATCCACATTCGCTTCGTGACGCCACATATCGCGCACCACGCTCATCCGATACCTAACGTCCGTCAGCAGACAGAGCACGGCAAAACAGCCGATCGCTTTGGCTATACTGCCGTAACGTACCCTCAACAACTTATTGATGTCCAGCACACTGAGTCGCTCATCCAGCAGAGGTTTGATCGACTTTTTGAGGGGATAGGCTGTCACCCTAGCGTACTTATGAATGTCGCTCAACAGTTTTTCCTCCGCACTGAATGGATATGAGCCGAATCCTAAACGACTGTACTGTCTTTTGGGAATGAAAAAGTCGCCCTCCGACGGTAATCCCAATGATGGCGGCGGCACATCATAGGGCGCAAACAGTTTTTTCAGGAACGAATCTCGGCATTGATCGGGTGGTGCCTCAGGCAGTGGATATTCATCCTGCAGCTTTTTTAGCATTTCCAGCCGCTTCTGCTCATATTCGCGGATTAATTTCCTACGGTTCAACATTGTGCTTACTTGTACTTGTACTAAGAGCGCAACAAATACGGTTTTTTTTTGCTATTTTTTGTAAGATGGAGTAGTTTGAAATGTATTTTGTGTTCCTGGGTGTGTATAATGATGTTGTAAGTATAGTTGACTAAGTGTAATAGGATTATAAATATATGAGCTTGAATCTAACTAAAGAGGGCTAGATGCTTTGCAAGTTATAGAAAGGTATAAATCACGTGCTGGCAGTGAGTTCCGAGGAGCTCATAATATATCTGATCTGATTTAGACTTATATTCTATCAATCTACATATATTTATTTATCTATCTAACTAACTAACTATCCCTCGATCTTTTTATCTAGTAAAGATAGAGAAATACATATATCTACCATTGTATCTATATTGTAGTACCCCAAATGATTTGTCTTTATTTTTTTGTAAGTGTACCGGAAACTCAAGTGGGATGGTTTCAATCACTAAAACATTCTCGATCGCAGTTGGCCTTGCGCACAAGTTGCTCGGGTTTGGGTATTCCATGTTAGTTCGTTGACAAACGTACGATGTATAGACCGTGTTTAAAATCTAAAGTATTTGAAAAACAAACTCCATTTATGTGGTGCGGCAAGCAGGGCAGCGGTGCCGAATCGATTGGCGACTGGTCTCTGGCGGATCGCGAGGATGCTGTCGATGATGACGATAATGAGCAGGTAACTTCAGTTAGAGTTCCAGTTTTAAGATGTTGGCTAGCCTAATTGCCGTTAGGCGCCCCCCACAGCCATTGTTATTGTGGAGCCACGACAAATGCGCCTCCCAACGTCCAGCACCACCAGCAGCTCTAACAGCAGCAGTATGAGCAACGGTATTGGTCTCAGTCATAATAATAATAATAATGCTAGCGGTGGTGGTGGTGCTAGTGGTGTCGGTGGTGCTAGCAGCAGCAGCAACACCAGCATCGGCGGGCACGCGCCCGATTGGTTTATGCTCCCACAGGCAGTGGATGTGAACAACGATGTGATGCGTCTGGTTAGCAGCCTCTCGACGGTGGTCCAGATCCTAACACGAATGACTAATGCGGCTGCCCAAGAGCTGCGCCAGCATCCCGAGCGGGAGGAGGGTTTTCAAGGCCTTCGGCTGTTGCTCAACTATGCTGATCAGATGTACACTACGCTGTTGCAGGTAAAAACTTCTAAGAGTAATCCAATCGATATATGAACCGACATACATATGTATATATAAATAAATCCTGTGCAGCCCCAGCCCTTGCCGCCGGAGCGACCCGCCTCGTCAAATAGGAATGTTAGCGAGCAGTCGTATAATCTTTTCCATCATCTCTTCGAGCCCATGCTCGTCGCCCATCCGGAAAGGGTGGAAGATGTGTCAGCGCGCCAATCGCAGCCAGTGGATCGATCACGTGCCTATCCTTATCGCGTAGTGGCCGTCGCGGCCAGTGCGACAGGTATTCCAGGTGGGACACCACCTGGCTCGGAAGCAAGCGGACCAATAGCGCCAACATCGGCAATCGGCGCGAATGTATATCAGATTCGAAATTGACATGGCAGCAGCTTCCCTGCAGCAATGCGGCTTAAATTGTTTGTGAATAAATTAATTGCACTGCAAGTAACTGTTAAAGAGTTGACTCTATGTGTGTAGGTTTTTAATGTCTAATGTGTTTATGTCCTACTCCGATACATTTTGTTGCGCTCTCTATCGCACTCTCGCTCGTTCTCACTCAACGACGAACAAAAGCTAACAGCACAATTGGAGAGATATGTAAATTACGACTTGTGCCCGCTGTCAGTTAATGTTAACAACATGCAACGGTAATTTAAGCACAGTTTCAGCAAAGCAAACAAAGTGCACATAAGCATGTACTCACACATACACACATACATCACACTCACACTCAATTAAAACATCGCCGCTACTCCCACGCGCGCTCTCTTACTCTCTGCAAGCAAACACAAATAAACGTGCGCGCACTCCCTCTCTCTCCCACTGTCTCACTCTCTTGCTCTTGCACTGCGTTAGCTGTTCTCTGCTCATGTGCTGCTCTGACGTAGGCGCCTGCTTGCGTTGGCAACGTCTCCGCTCACTCGCACACAAAACGCGCACGAAATAGCTTTTGCTTGCGCTCAGCTGGCAACAGTCCGAACATCGCATCGTCGCTTGCTACTGCTACGTGCGCGCCTGTTCACTCGTATCGCGTAGAGGGACCTGCCTCAATGCTGCGCGTCACATTTTTTTCGTGCTTTGTTTAGGCGTCCGACCTTTCGCAACATACATAAAAAAATCAACTGTTTTTGACTATTGTTTTTTTTTTTTTTGTGCGTCTTCGGCGGTTGTCAGTGGCCCATTTGAGACTGTAGGCGCCGCTACGTCTTTTAGCGCCTGCGCAGGGCAAATTCGATTGGCTTGGCGCTGCTTTTGCAGCTTTGTAGCTTGCAGCTTGGCCACCATTTTTGATTTGGATTGCGCTGTAGCTGGTTATGAAGCAAACAGAATGCGACTGCTGCTGGATGCTGTCGCCCCTACGGTGGGATGCCCACCGTCCTTGTGAAGTGCCGTTAGTTAAGCAGCGGCGTGATCAAACATTCAGCATGGTTGGTTGGTGGGGGTGGCGACATGAGGCGAAAGGGCCGTCATGTCACTTAATCCGCGAGCTTTTTGCCGTCGTCTACAACTGTAACTTTACGATGGCACGTACATATAACTGTGAGCGTATGTGTGCGTGTGTGTCTGTCGGTATTTGTGTGCATTGCGCATCTCTTATGTCGACTGGCTTTTGCTATCTGTTGATTGCTGTGCACTTGTTCGCCAAACCGCAGAGAGCGCTGGCATTGCCATCGGCAGCGGGCGTAACGGTAAACGACAAACAGCGTCGCCAGCGTCGTCGACGGCACGACGGTCGCATCTGATAGACAGCTGTCTCCCGGTTACGTCAGTCAAAATGACGCATCGTGTTTTGGTAACAGGAAAGCATAAAAGCCAGCAGACGCAAACGGAGCTGGAGCGAGAGTCGCTGCCGCAACAAAAGAAAATCACCACAAAACAAAAGAACAAAGCGCACACAGCGACAGCGACAGCAGCAGCGAACAGCCAGCAGCAAGCAACAAGCAGCGACGCGACGCAGCCACACAAAAATTGTGCGCGAGACAACGTTTGGCGCCCACATTGAGCCACCCTCGCACTTTGGGGCCAAACTCAGGCAACTCTGGGCCAATAACCTTTGCGCAATTGGGCAAAGTGCAGTCGCGACGGGGAACTCTCCAAGGCGCAGAGCGAAATTCTCAGTCTCCCGCTTTGCATAGTGTAAATCTATGTGCGTATACATTTAATTGCAGCACAGAAAGACCAATGAATTGAATGACTTTCAGTTACCCACTATAAATGTGTGTTTGTTCAGATACATACACATATATTTTTACCCCGCCTAAAAGTATAATTGAACAAATTTGATTTTATTTCAATTAAAATAGGAAAATATTCTCTGCCAGCATTATGCTGCCTTTATTTGTTGTAACTCTAATAGTTATACATATTTATTTATTTATTTTTTATTTCAAATAAGAATGTATTCTTCAATAATTTCAGTATTATTTAAAATAGCATTTTTTATTTTTATTAATTTTGTATATTTTATTAAACAACTTTTACATTTTCTTCATCAACATGAGATAATATTCTATATTAATTTCAATTGGCTTAAATTTGACTACCCTATTGCATCTAAGCTGTGCAGAGTATAATTACATGCACTTGGGCAGAGCCCTGCAGTAACGCCGAAGAAACACTGCAAAAACGACGACAACCACCGATGCCAACGCCAACGCCAACGCCAACACTGGCTGCGGCGAAGGAGGGGAAAGAGTCAGCGGCAACGCCAACGACAATGCCATCTGCCGTTTCTTTGCTGCTTTCACAAAGAGCTATGGGCTTGGAGAGTGCGGCGCGCGTGCTGGGAAGCAGCTATGCAGCTCTGCGCGCCTGCTTCGATGCGGACAAAATTTGAGCAGATCCGCTCACAAAATAAGCTATGTGCATGCGGTGCTGGTGGTTGTGGTTGTGGTTGTGGTGGTGGCCTGACTGAGTAGGTTCCACAACCTGGCGTTCCAATAGCGACGAGACGCTACGCGACGCGATTCGATGCGATTCAACTCGACTCCACTTAAAGCTGGGGATAGTTGTCCCATTCCAATTGGAAATTGGCTAGCATGCGAGCGCCACAAGTGACATGGGAAAAATCCCCAACTGGTATTTTGAGCAGGCGCGCAGTTCGTTCCAGCAGCTGACCAGCTAAAGAGTTCGCTCAATCTCACACGGAGCGAAAGAGACAGAAAGCTGCCTGCCCATGCCGATAAGAAAAGCAAAAGAGCAACAAATTGCATTGCATTGGCAAAACGAGATAAGCAAAAGTGAAGGACTGGAGAAGGGCTGGAGTGAACTGAAGTGCCACAGCGCCGATCGCAGATATGATAATTAGAAAATTGCTGTAACGATAGAACCAGTCCTTAAATAATTTGAGCTCATTTGTTCAGCATGACAAATATTCAATTAGATAAAAATATTAAAAATATTAAATATATGTTACACTAACAAAAGCAATTGAATGTAAAAAGATTACTGTAATACGACAAAGGTTTGAGTTGCCGGTTGAAATGCGCCTTTGCCTGGAAGAGACTAACATTTCTTAGCTTTCTGAACGATTTCCGAGAGATCAAGCCGTTTTTCATGGAACGTTACGCTATTAATTGTATTATTTTTTTGCAAATAAAACATCAAATGAAAATAAATAAATAGTTAGAAGTATTAAATTGATAATTTTATTTGAAGTTTTTAATTTGTTAACAGATTTAAGTGAATCAACGCTCCTTTATTTACTGATAAGCAGTCATGACACTCCTATTTAGAATTCTATCTCACTTAAATCATTCGCGACTTAATTTTATAGTTCATTTAGCTACATATGTACATATATGCCGTGGTTCCAGTTAGAAATAATTTGTATCACCTGTGACGAATATCTGTTGCTCGGCATTTCAAATTATCTGATTTTCTGCTCTCCGATCTCTCCCTCTATCAATCTCTCTCTTTCGCTTTCTCTCTCTCTCCCTACCTATATCACACCTTTTCTAAAGAGCACACCCTCACACAGACATATCCAAAGCGGCCTGCGCTGCTCTCCAAGAGGTTTTCGCTATTTAAGTCGGTGTGGATAAGCGGTTGCTTAGCTGCTTGCTAGATCCATTCTGAGCGTTTATTGCTGCTCTGTTGCTAACACCCTGTGATGCTTGCTTTCGAGGAGCCCAGGGTGATAGTAAGTGCGGCAAGCCATTCAAAGTTGTGGTCACGAACACGGAGCTGTCCCAGCGGGCCATTTACCTGCTCGAGGACAATAACTTTTCTTTATTGGCGCTATCGACTATAAGCCTTCTAAAACATATGTTACAAAATTATATCTCTAACATTTTGAGCTTTATTCTCCAAATTTTGCAAGCCGATTCATGTAAATTTATACAAATTCGATATTCTTACATTTTGGATACCACTCCCAACTAAATCCTGTTCCTTAGTTTCTATTAAAATAATTTAAATATTGTGGTTAATTTGATGTTTCAATTTTCTCCTTGCATTAACTCTTGTTCTTTCACAGATTGTCAATCGCTGGATCTGATAGTTGCGCTCCTTTCGAATCGCATCTTTGAATATGATTTAGAATATGAAAGGGTCATACTTTTTCGAAATACCTTAAGCCAGGTTATGTCAGAATATAGGAAACTTGCTTACTCAGCTTTCTAGACATAAATGTTTTCCAGACGCAAACAACTAGAAAGTTTTCAATATATGTATGTATAATAGTGGAACCTAGTGGTTAAGGGAGACGCGGCTCGACTCCACTTAAGGCTGGGGATAGTTGCTCCATTCCAATTGGAAATTGGCTAGCATGCGAGCGCCACAAGTGACATGGGAAAAATCCCCAACTGGTATTTTGAGCAGGCGCGCAGCTCGTTCCAGCAGTTGACCAGCTAAAGAGTTCGCTCAATCTCAAACGGAGCGAAAGAGACAGAAAGCTGCCTGCCCATGTCGATAAGAAGAAGCGAGCAAAGAAAACGAGATAAGCCAAAGAGCATTGCATGGCCAGAGCGAGATAAACAAAAGTGGAAGAGTGAAGAAGGGCTGGAAATGAAGTCAAATGTGTTAGACCCTCTCGTTGAGAAGATAATCAGAGCTTCGATCGCTATGAACGCATTCAATACAAGTTAATCATAAACCATATTTATTTCACAACTGCTCATCGAAAAAAAAAAAAACAAAAACAAAACGTTTATCAGCAATTAATACCTTGGTGTTGAGTGTTGCCAAAGTTAGTAACTGTATAAAAGGGTAGCCTTTGATTATGTTTCCATATAGTCGAGCGGCGAACGTGCAGCTGTTAAGTTTCCCCGTTGCCAGCTGAGTTATATTGGGTAAGTGGAATAAGAGAGCGACCAATAGAGAGAGAGAGAGAGAGAGTGAGTGGTGAGCACTTAAGAGCTTTCAGTAAGCTTTGCCGTCAGCTCTGTTGATATTTCAGTTGGAAATAAGGCAAGCAGCAGTTCAGTTAATTTTTTTCTCATTCGATGATTTTGCTGAGTGCCGTACATATTATATGTCGTAGTGATCTAAAGCAGAGTGAAAGAGAGGGATAGTGCTAGTAGTGAACTAAAATGATTTGGTTCTATTTGTTAATTTTTTTTTTTGAAATGCTAATTGAGTTATTTTTCTGCTATACAAGTTGTGAAATATTTAGAGATAAAAATATTAAAAAATAAAATCAATAGCCATCTAAAAACATTTTTTTTTAAATATAAAACTTATTTTTAAAAAAGTTTAATAAACATATGTTAATATAAACAAAGTTATTTAATAATATATTTACATCAATCTTCACCAGTTGAAGATAGTTTCAAAAAATCATAGAGCTTAATTAATTAAATCGGATTAAAAATATTATATAAAATATATATATGTTCATTGAAAAAATACTGAAATTTTTGTGAAATAAAAAATATCCCATATGATAATATATATTAAACTATAAAGTTGATCTATTGATAAATTATAAACACCATACATGCGAAGAATCTATAAATATTTTGTTATTATTTATACTTTATTTTTTTTTATTTTTTTATTTATTTTTTTTTTTTAAATATAAACTTAATTTTGACCAAATATTAAAAAGCTTCTATAAGCAGTCCTGACACTATTATCAACTCTATAATTCTCTTTTACTCAATAAATCATTTGGCATTTACCTTTAGAGTACCTTGACTGTATGTTGCGATTGCAGAAATAAATGTCTGCACTCTGCTGAATTCTCAACTCTCCAATCGCTCTCTCTATCTCCTGTAAACCGGAATTTGTTATAGGCGGTATAGAGCACATTTATTCTCACACACACACACACACTCACACCCACTCAGATCAAATCACAGCTCGCTTTAGCATGCTAAACAGGTTCATAAGTTTATCGGCTCTCATTGCCAAAGGCAGCTGCGGCTTCCAGGGGCCTGGGCTGCTCTCTCTCAGTCGCCGTCGCTACTTAAGTCGGGGTGGGTAAGTGGCTCAGCTCAGTTACTTGCCGAACCTCGAGTTGAGCATTATGCGTGCGATACTTAAAGTTCTGCCCCTGCTGGCATTTATTTCTGCTCTGTTGCTAACACCCAGTGCTGCTTCACTTTTGCGCAGAGCCAAGAACAAGACAATGTCCGCCAAGCCTTTCAAAGTGTTGATCACGCACCCGGAGGTGCCCCAATCGGGCATTGACCTGCTGGAGGCCTGTGAGCTGGTGCGTGTGGAGAGTCTGCCGCCCAAGCGGTCCGAGTTGTTGCAGAAGATCCGCGGAGTCGATGGCATTCTGTGGGCCGGACACGAGGCTCTCAATGCCGAGGCCTTGGATGCAGCAGGACCCCAGCTGAAGTCCATCTCAACCATGTCCGCTGGCATCGACTACGTCGATCTGGACGAGGTGAAGCGTCGCAAGATACCGTTGGGTCACACACCCATGGTGCTGGACAACGCTGTGGCCGATCTGGCGGTGGGTCTGCTTATTGCTGCAGGTCGTCGCTTCCACGAGGGTCGCAAGAAGATCGAAACGTAAGTTGGACTTGGGATATGCCTAGAATGTTGTGTATATGAATTGTGCTTGACATGGTTTAGCGACAAGTGGGAGAACTATCATCTGAACTGGATGCTGGGCCAGGATGTGCGCGACTCGGTGGTTGGTTTCTACGGCTTTGGCGGCATTGGCCAGGCCATTGCCAAGCGTCTGTCTGGTTTTGATATCGATCAGGTGCTCTACACCACACGGCGTCGCATCGACCGGGAGACCGAAAAGGAGCTCAATGCCAAGAAAGTTGATTTCGATGAGCTGCTGGCTAAGAGCGATTTCGTGGTCATCGCTGCTCCACTAACAGCTGCCACACAGGGCGTCTTCAATGCCACCGCCTTCAACAAGATGAAGAATACGGCTGTGCTGATCAACATTGCACGTGGCAGTGAGTGGGAACATTTATATTTTTTTTGCTTAATTAATTATTTGTTTATATTTTAATTTTTGCTCTATTTATTTTCAAAACTGACATTTAAATGTTTCCATTTCATCAGAGATTGTTAATCAGAATGATCTGTACGATGCGCTCAAGTCGAATCGCATCTTTGCCGCTGGCCTCGATGTTGTCGATCCCGAACCACTGCCACCCAATAACAAGTTGCTAACACTCGACAATATCGGTAAGTGAATTTATCTCTATAAATATATAAGCTTTTTCATTTAGCTCACTTATCTCTTACTCAACTCTTATCTGCATTTTTGTCAGCACTCGCTTTCTGTTTTTATTTTGTAGAGAGTTTTGTGATTGTTTTAGTTTGGAAATTGATGGCCAAGGTTCTTTTTAGGTCATCTATAAACAATTTTGGGTTATCATCATAAAAGCCTGCTTGTTTATTTTGTCACCTTGAGCGCACCAAATTTGCCTTTTTCCATAGGTAGTTGTGAATGGTAAAGGGCGTCATTTTTATAGAGATATTTACTTCAGTATATATTTATATTTAGGACAAATAATAAAGTTGATATTAAGCAATAAATATTTTCTGTTATTCTCCTAGGCAAGATATAGTCAAAACTTTCTGAAGTGAAAAGGTCAGGAATATTTTTGTTGTAGAAAGGGTATCATATTATAGTTTACACGGTTTATGAATTCAACTTATCTGTAGGTTGCATTCAATTGCAGCGAGGTTCCACTGCGATTCATAGCAAATCGAATGCTTTTTAAGTTTCTGTTACCTTTTTATCTCTAGATAAAGCAGAATTTACCCACCTCGAACTAGTTACCGGCCACAGCTGGGTTTCTTCTGTCTGGTAGATTTAAGTACATGTCTCTTTATGCAACTCAAGGTCAACCGCTTCACTTCTATTTCAGTCATTCTGCCCCACATTGGATCTGCCACCAATCGCACCCGCTCCGACATGGCCACCATAGCCGCTCACAATGTGCTGCGAGGCTTGGCGGGTGAGCGTATGCTCTCGCCGGCTTATTAAGCTATGGGAAAACATTGGAAGAATTATAGAAATTCTATGGGAAGCTTTGAAGGTCTACGAAGACGATTGCTATGCAAATCAATTGCAAACAATTATGTGAATAATTTTGAGCTCAACAAATTAAAAAGTAAACAGAAATTATAAATTATTATTGCATTATCAATCATATATCTATAAAATTATTCTTATCTTGGTCACCGATCTTGGAATTAATCCATCAATCAATCAGAGTTAAAATTCTTGTTCATCTGGCGGATTGGGCTATTATCTACAATGGTTTATCAGTAGCTGTAAACATAAATATATAGATAGTTAACATGTAGTAAATGTAGGTCAAATCAAGGTTACAATTTGACAAGCTCATAATTTTGTTGAAAACTCGTGTCTAATTGCACTAGATAACTCACAATGCTCTGTACATACATACATAT